GTGAAGAATATCCAGATTAATCGTGAGGAAGGCTCGAGACTGTCACTAGAAGGAAGAATCAAATTGTCCACAAAACCTTATTCAATGGCAAGCAAGGCCAGATTTTCAAGCACTCGGAGCGTTTCAAGGATAAAATATGGTAGAACAAGAAAAGCCACTGGACTCAAAGGAGATTTAGACAACCCCTAATAAGAATCGAGTCACAAAGAGCAAGGTTTATCATTGCGGGACATGCTACAATTGAGCTGGTGGTTCCAACTCAACCCAATAAACAGTGGGTCCGCAAGCCTTTAATAGAGGAGAATAAGAAAGGTAACGGCAACCCTTCCTCGACAAATTTGAAAGGTTTTATCAACATTAACGGGGAGGATGGAAATGACGAATTCAACGAAGAAGAGGATGATGAAGAGGGAATGGAGGAAGACTGGAATGACTAACAGCTCCAAGACACTGATGCGAATTCCATGGAGTTGATGGCCGATCCAAATTTCAACGTGACTAGTAATGATAATGCCGTCCAACAAGAAAACGATTATGACTGGGAGATAGCCCTTCTGGAAGAAGACAACATGGGTCTGAAGTCCAAGGCTGTGAATGATGAGGCTCATTATTAACTAGAACGTGAGAGGGGCAGGGAGACCATCTCTATAAAGACAGGTCAAGGAACTTATCAAAGTCCATAAACCTGGTATTTGTTTCCTAATGGAAACTAGAACAAATCTTGATAGATCCAAAAAGATTGCTAAATCCTTTTGTTTTTGTTGATTTTATAGGGTTTTCTAAAGGCCTCTGGGTCTTTTGGAACAAAAGCTTTTGTAACCCTCTAAGTTGTTTTCTCTAATGAAAGAATAATTCATGATTTAGTGACTGAAATTGTTTTCAACAAATCTTGTTTTATCACCTTTGTGTATGCTCTTCCTAGTAGGATTGATCAAAGAAATGTTTGGAACTGGTTGAGAGAAGTTTCTAATACCATCAATGGTGCTTGGTGCATGAATGGTGATTTTAATTCTTTGAGAAATAGCGTAAATAAGAAAGGTGGTAGAGAGGTTCGTGCTAGCCAAACTCAGGTTTTTAATGATCTAATTGATGACTGCAGTAATCTTATGGGCTTGGAGATAAAAAGTCTTCAATTCATGTGGAAAAATAAAACCACTTGGGAGTGCTTAGATTGGGCTCTTGTTAATGAGGAATGGAGGGCTTTATTTCCTAATACTTGTCTTATGAATCTTTCCTTCCTAGACTCCGATCATACTCCCCTCTTACTTAATACTAACTTGATGGCTTCCTTTGGGCCCAAACCTTTCAGATTCGAGTCTATGTGGTGTTTAGACCCAAAGTTAGAGAAAACAATCAAACAAACTTGGAATTTTGAAACTACCATGCAATTTGTAAGGAAAAAGAATAATCTTGTTCAAATTCTCAAAGAATGGAATAAAAACAAATTTGGTAATATTTTTAAAAGAAAATCAGAAATTATCAAACACCTTGAGGAGAGGTCCAACAACAACTAATTAATTGGAAATGACTAAAAATCCCTTTGTCCAACTTAGAAAGGGCCCTTCAAAAGCAATTGAATTTTGAAAGAAAGCCCACTAGAAGAGCTAGGAACAAGATAATTAGCATTAAAGATGATGAGGGGAATTGGATAAATGATCAACATGAAATTTCAAAACATTTTCTCTATAAATTTATTCATCGATTTCAAACAGAGGGTACAAGAAACATTGAGAAGGCCATTAGTAGTATTGAAACATGCATAAGTGAAGACCATAATCGTGAGATTTGTAGGGATGTTTTGGAAGAAGAAATCCTTATTGCCCTATAGTCAACGAAAGAACTCAAAGATCTTGGGTCGGATGGTCTTAATGCATTATTTTCAAAAAAATTCTGGTCCATTATTAGAGAATCAGTTTGTAAGGTTGTGAAAGCTTTCTTTCACTCAAAAAAGTTGTGTATGATTCTCAATAAAACCTTTATTGCTCTTATCCCAAAAAAGAAAAATCTAGAAACATTGAACAACTATAGGCCCATAAATCTATACAATGTTATTTATAAAATCATCTCTAAGATTCTTGTCAATAGAATTAAACCTCTACTAGGTAATATAATATGATATCTCCATTTCAAGAGGTGTGCCTTTCACTACTTGCTAAAAGGTGTGATTTAATTGCCATGTAGATGGATAGAAGTAAGGATTGTGGTTTAAGATATTCTGATATGGGAGGAAAGCATCTGTATGGGAAGAGAGGTGTTGTGCCCAAGAACTCATTACTTAGCTCTTTGTCAAAAAGTTTGGCGAGTGGCATCATCTGGGCTTACCATTTACTTGGACATTCATTTTTTTCTTTCTAGATTTACCCCTTATGCTAATTGTATCCATTTTAAACATGTTTTAGGCAGAGCTAGAGGAGATCATAAAGAAAGACCACCTATACAAAAGGAATTGACTCTAAGGAAATTAGAGAAATGGACTATCTTTCCAAAGTATGCTCTCTTTGACCTGAATTTTAAGCAGTGTTGACCAAATATTTGGACTATAACTGATTACAAAAATGTTTTGCTCTTGAATGTGATTGATGAAAACACTGTGCCTCATTAATGTTCATTGGTAGCTTTCCAAGAAGCAAGAAAGGTGGTTAATATCAGTGGTCAATTTCTCTTCTCTATCTTCTACTTCTTCATTTTGCTTTCCTCCTAAGTAATCTCTCTCTCTCTCTATTTATTGAAATAAAATGGTCATTTTCTTAGGTTACACCATGCCAAAGGATGGAAAGAATGGTGAAGGAGGCTAAACATTTTGAAAAGGAGGATTAGGAGAAGAAGAGGAATACCATAGACACCAAGAACCATGCAGATTTTGTGTACAATAGAAACAACTAAATTTGACCCATGCTGGCAGTCACCCACTGCAAAGGCGCAAAAAAAATATATTTTTTTTTGTATAAAGCTGGCCTGTGCCGGCAGTCATGACTGCCAACACAGGGAAAAAATAGTGTAATAGACCTATCCCGACGGTCATGACCGCAGGCATAAGGAAAAAGTTTTAAATATAATAGATCTTTCTACCATTTTCCATAGTTTTTCCTGGCGGTTCTGGCTGCCGCATTTGAAGATCAGAACCGCCGGTTGTCTCCCTAAGCCAGCGTTTTCGTTAGAACTGCCAGCAATGAGCGGGTACTAAACTGCCAGCTTAAGGGCCTGTTTGACAAGTTTTTTTTTTTTTTTGAGAAGATCTTCTCATAGCTCTGATAGTCAATAAATCCATTGAGCTTTTGACTTCCGGCTTAGAATATTGTTGTGACTGTCTTGTAGGCGGTCTAAAAAGCTAAGCTGCCGGTTTTGTGACCGCCGTCTTAGGCTGTTTTTCTTATGATATATACATTGAAGTCTTGCAAAGTGAACTAGAAAACCTTGAAAATTAAAGATCAAAGGGATCGGATATGAGATTCACCTATATTCTTTCAAATTAAATACACGTGCCCTTCAGCTAGCCTTTTTAAATCACGCATAAAAATATATTTAAAAGCACAGCATGTAGTCTATTATCACTTATTACTAATATTAATACTTTGGCATCATGTGTGGCAATTTCCATTTGGCATCTCGCATCACCCTGTTGGGCATCACGTGCTGGCACATGTGAACATGCATGCGTGAAGGGAAAAAACCACAGAAAAAAAAAAAACATGGATTACGAGAGTATCTGTTCTTGAAATCCCTTCATAAATCCAAATTGTTCCTCGAAAGAATCCAGCCCTCCTTCACCACCACTTCGAGGATTATTTTATAAGAGTAATCGGCTTTGTTTTATACCAGTGGGAAGTGGGATTTTCACGAATGAAATTTTACCTAACCAATTTACTATGAAGTTATCTTGCTTTCCTTCTTTCCTTCTCCTGTGGGTAGATGTGGACAGATAGTAAATAGTAAATACCTGTTATAATATTGTGTGTTAAATCCTTGTTTGTTTTAATTTGTAGGCCACTTGTTCTACTTATGATGAATGAATACCTACTTTAAAAATCCTTCCTTAAATCCGCAATTGTTAATGGTAGTGTTATAGGATTTGGACCGGACCAGACAGGTAAACCAGTGACCCGATGATCCAGTGGCCTTTTTGTGTCTCGGTTAAGTGTGGACGAATGGACGATTTTGATGGTCTGAACAGCTTAACCGTCAGAGTTGCCATAAAACTTGACCCAGTGATCATTCCGGTTTTTTGTCTGAATCCACTCCGAATCTCGAGGCCACTACGAGGAATATTTTACAATGGGATGCTATCTACTTTGTGCTAGAGGTCACGTGAATGTGACTCAGTCGCATGGAACTTCAATCGTAAATATTTGATTATTGCAGCTTGTATCGTGATTGATGGTAATAGCTCTGTGACTGAATAAGTAGGCACAAAAAGAGAAAGAGGAGATATAAAGGGCGCCGGATAGTTCTTTCAGATCTATTCATACATTGTCCGGTGCGGGAAGTGCTAATCCGAGAGAGATTCTTTGCTTTCTTTACTACACAAACCTTACGTTTGGCTTCTGCATATTAATTTCCTTTTGCTGCTCTACCTGAAACAAGACAAGATCATGTCTTTTGTGGGAGAACCAATTGTAGCAGCTTCTTTTCAAGTGCTCTTGGACAAGTTGGCCAGCCCGACAATTGAAGAGTCTTCATCCAAAATGGGGCATCGATGAAGATCTCGCAGAAATAGAAACAACGTTGCAGATGATAAAGGCCGTGCTCATAGATGCCGAGCAAAAGCAGGAAACGAACAAGGAAGTGAAGAAATGGTTAGACAAACTCAATCATCTGGCTTATGATGCAGAAGACATATTGGACATCTATGAAACCCAGCCAGGTACGCCCTTCCATTCCCTCTGAAATATTACATTCAATAAAAACAGGGATAGAGGATATAAACAAGAGACTAAAGAAACTGAAAAATGGAATAGCTGCATTTAGTTTAAAAGAGGTTGGCATAAAAAAAGAAGGCACTCATGATCAACCAAATCAATAAGAAGCGGCAGACGACTTCCTTGAAAATATCACGTGTTTTTGGTCGAGAGACTGATAAAGGCAATATCGTTGAACTGTTGATGAAGACCGATGAACCCAAGGAAGAAAATTTTGGAGTACTAACCATAGTCGGTATGGGTGGGCTAGGTAAAACTACCCTTGCTCAACTTGTATACAACGATGAGAAGGTAAAGGTGCATTTCGACCTAAAAGCATGGTTTTGTAAGTCTGAAGAATTTGATGTTGCAAAGATAACCAACGGTATTATTGAGTCTGTTAGTAGGGAACCACATGATCTCACGAGCTTAGATGCGCTCCAAGGAAAACTTAAGGAGATATTTGATTGTTCTAGACGATGGTTGGAATGAGAACTGCAGGTATTGGGAAGACGTTCGCCTACCTTTCAATTCATGTATGGGAAAAAAGGAAGTAAAATTATTGTGACAACAAGAAGCCAACGAGTTTCAAAAATCGTGGGAAATGCCCCTCCTTACTTTCTAGGTGGTTTGGCAGATGAAGATTGCTTGTCTTTATTATGGCAGAGTGCATGTGTAGACGACAACCATTTGAATGTACATCCAGAGCTAGAAGCAATTGGTATGGGAATCGTGGAAAAATGTAAAGGTCTGCCTCTTGCAGTAAAGTCACTTGGAGGCCTCTTACACTCTAAATATGAGATAGAAGAGTGGATGAATGTGTTGGACAGTGAAATATGGGAATTACAAGAAGATGAAAGTGGTATATTTCCAGCCCTGAGATTGAGCTACCAACATCTCCCGGTGCATCTAAAGAGATGTTCCATCTTGCCAAAAGATTATGAATTCAAGAAAGAGGAACTGGTTTTGTTGTGGGTGGGGGAAGGATTTATAGTACATTCTAACCAAGGGAAAATAGGAAGGGCATATTTTGGTGAACTATATTCTAGGTCATTTTTCATCCAAATGCCAAAAGACAGCTTATTTTCAAGATTATCATGAATCAACCTCAGTATTTGTAATGCACGACGACCTCATTCATGATTTAGCACAGTCTGTTATAAAGAATATACATACATACATACATACATACATACATTTTAGAATAGAAAACGACGACCACTTGGAGAAAGTTCCCAATAATGCTCGTCATTTATGCTCATCTCTTTATTGGATAAATGACCAGAACCTAGCAAAATGTGATGCCTTGAACCAGGCCAAGAGTTTACGCACATTAATTCCATTTTCTTCAACCTTTTGGACAATCCCAGTTCCTTGGCCTTTCCTTGATAAATTATTCAATACATGGACATGTTTGCCTGTTTTGTCCTTGCGCCGTATTGACCTCTCAAAATCTGGTTTCCCAGATTCCATTGGGAATTTGAAACTTGTACGATATCTAGACCTTTCCTTCACTAATATTCCAACTCCACCGACATCAATTTGTAGCCTCTACAATTTGCAAATATTGACGAATTTGTTAAGCATACAGCGTTATGTGATGTCCTTGAAAGCCTTGTCAATATTCGACTTGTTAGGATGAATACCTATCCGTGTAATTTCAGACATCCACGGGGATATCTCAAGTTATATGGTAAGTGCATCAAGGCACAATGCATTTCCTTATCAGGGTTAGAGGTTGTGAACATGGCAGATATCAAAGAAGTTAATTTCAAGAAGAATCAATTTATCGAGGAGTTGACGTTTGAATGGGATGGCGGGATAGAAAGAGCTGTGTCCGAGGAAGAAGTAATAGAGTATTTACAACCTCATAGCAACTTAAGGAAGCTCAACATCTGCAATTATTCGGGTACAAGATATCCTAATTGGATGCTAACTATGCCCAATCTGGTTGCAGTGCATATTAAAAGTTGTAATGTCCTCTCTACAGCTGGTCTAGGACAGTTAGTAGTTACCTTTCCTCAAGATTATGAAAATAAGTGAAATGAATAGTATACAGCGTGTGGGTTGTGAATTGTTTGCACCACCGGATGGTATTATTGTACATGTTGTAAAGCCATTATTTCCATCACTAAGGAAACTTGAGTTTTGGGCGAGGCCCAACTGGGAAGAATGGAACGTAGAGAAGGTGGAAGGTGATGAAGAAAAATCATTATTTCCTTGCCTTGATACCCTTGTAATTAAGAAATGTGCCAAACTTAGAGGGCTCCAAATCCCAATCCCTTGCTTACCTGTGCTAGAGGTGTTGAGTATAATTGACTGCGAGGAGTTGGATGCTGTTACGAGGCTCGGTAATCAGGCAATCATAGAATCATCACCATCATCGTCATCGTCATCGTCATCGACACCCACTTCCTTCGTGAGCTTTGGATATCCTCCTGTCCCAAGCTAACAGCATTGATGGTGATGTTGAAAATAAAAGGCTGTCAACACTACTATTGAACTTGGGGAACAAAGTCATGTTTATGGTAGATCCGTTACGGCACAAGGATTGACAGTATTACAGCAAATCTGTGATGTACGATGTTTGGAACTTCACGAAATGAATGGTGATGTTGACATCTTGCATTCGTTGCAAAGCTTCACTTCTCTTACCTCTTTCACAATACGGGATTCTACAATAACAACATTGGCGTCGAATCTACCCCCTCTGTTGAAAAAGTTGAAAATAGAAAATTGCCCAGAATTGGGTAGTGGGTACTAGTATTGAACTTATGGGACACGGTTATTTTTATGGTAGATTGATTAGGGTTCAAGGTAGGAGAGTAATACAGCGATTCTGTGGTATACATAGTTTGGAGCTTCACGACATATTGTTTGATGATGTTGAGATCTTGTATTCTTTGCAAGGCTATACTTCTCTTGCCTCTTTAATGTTGCGATATTCTCCAAATTTCACATCGTGTTCAGAAATAAGATTGCCCACCAGCCTACGACAACTTTAGATCACGGGATTTAAGAAACTCGAATCCCTACCCGAAAGCTTGTACACCCTCACATCTCTTCTAAAGTTGAGTATCAGCGGCTGTCCTCAATTAACGGCCTTTCCTGAAAGGGGTTTGCCGACCTCGTTGAAGAGACTTGAGATCTGTGGATGCGGTGAGAAAAATAGAGAAATCCTACCCAGAGGTGTTGGACTTCATATGCTTACATCTCTTCAATCATTGACTTTCACGGGTTGTGGTGGCCTCAGGTCCTTTCCAGAAGATGAGGAGTGGCTGTTGCCTATTTCTCTTAAAGAATTGAAGTTCTATAATTTTCAGAGCCTCGAATTCTTACCATCTATTTGCAAACTCACTTCTCTAAAATTTTTGGAAATCTGGTTAATTCCTAAAGTCGTATCTCTCCCTGATGAGAAACTACCCCCGCAGCTTCAAAGTTTGATATTTTGTCACTGTTCTTTCCTAGAAAAGACATGCCAAAAGGGAGGGAGAGATTGGCCTAAGATATCCCACATCTCCAAGATAAGAATTTATTAGTTGAAGACTTTTGGCGATTGAGGAAGGATTCTAATGAGTGCTTGAAACACTCCAAGTTGGTCACCAAAACATGGATCTTAAGACCAGATCTACTGCAACGTAAGAGAGAGATTCTTTTTCCTCTTTTACTATAACGAGAAAATCTCAGTCAAATTGTATTGATTTCTCCATTTTTCAATGAGAATCTATGACCTATGGTGTTGTGAGGCATCCTCTGGCGAAGTTTGCTGGATCATCATTTACTCATTCGCTAATTTAGCAGTTCCGGATCCAGCATTATTTTGGAAAGAATGGTTTATATCATTTCGTTTGCTTAAGATACTGCACAAGGATAATTTCCAACTTCAACAATGGCTTCATTGCAAGGGCGATATTTTCTGAAAGGGTATGTATATTCATTTTTTCCCGTTTTTTAGTTGGAATACTGTCCTGTGTATCTTCATCTAGACTCAATTCAATCAAGCATTTGGTATATACTTCTTAATTTCTTGTCTCGATTTTAACTCCATACATGCATGGGATGTCCATGTTATTATTATTTTTTTTTGTAAAAATGAATTTTCTACTTTTTTGTTTGGATTGAATAAAAGAATGCTTTTTTTATTTCTTGTTTTGCTGCAAGAAAAAAATGCATTAAAGGAGAGAAAGCTGATTTGTAGGAGCTCTAGTTCTTTATCGTAAGCATTTCCGAAGTATGTTATTATTAGAATCAGAAAGATAAACCCATTAGTATATATAGGAAATCTAATTTTCATTCATAAGTTCATTTTCATTTACCACATTAATCTTATCTTGTCCCATTCTTCTACATGCAGCAACAACTAAGAAAAATCAATACTTAGTGATCAACAGATTTAATCTGTTTCATTCAAGGCAAAACGCATTTTTCTTTGCCACATATAAATGAGAAGAGCATGTCCAATCATTAATAGATTGTGAATGTGAGTGAATTTTCTACTTTTCTTAGCTATGAAGGTCTTGCTGTCTTTGTTGTGCTCTTTCAGAATTTTCTGTTTCCTCTTATAATTCTACTATCTTTCTATGTCCATGCCAATTATATTAACTAATTAAGAAATGTTTCTGGGAGTATAACATGCTATAGTTTTTTTTTTCCCTTTTGATTTGTTGTTTCTCCTTCCACATCTGATTAATCATTTCAACCTTAGCCAACTTTGTAATTGCTTGAAGTAATTCTGTAATGCAAATATCAAATTTAAAAATGAAAATCAATAGTTTGTTCCCATTTTCAATTTGGGAAAAGGGAAATTCAAGCCAAAACAAGTCATCATTGTAAACCAACGAACAGTGATTGAATGCTTCTATTCTCTTATTTCTAACATGGCTTCCGGACCCATAAAGCCTTCAGAGATGTCAGGTAGGTGGGTGAGACACAATGGGTGGGCATTACTAAGTACTAACGCACTACAAGAAAAATGGTCTGAGCCAGCGGTCTTTATAACCGCCACTAAAGTGATATTTGAGGAGGTCTAAGATAATATACTCAATGGATTTTATAATTAGGCCACATTTAAATCAGTCTAATCTTACAGAGAGTCGGTCCAAATGAGAAATGCGGGGAGGCAAAAAAATTCTTTCTCCCGCGCAAAGGCCTGCTTCCTGTTCAACAAGACAAAAGGTTCTTTGCAAAGAGAACCTTACAGAGAAATTTTGACAAAGACGACGAGCTTTTTTCCCGAACAAGAAAAATTGTAGAGAGAGAATCATTGTTCGAATAGCCACTGGGAAGGACATCTAGGGTTACAAGTGGTGTGCAACTCCATACCATCAGACTTTGTTTTTTCTTCGCTTGAGAAGGGGGGAAGATACCTTTATTCGTTCTTCTCTTGAGAAGGGGAAAATTTCTTCAAGCTAGCGCATCGACCCTTGTTCGTTCGAGCAAGAGAAGAGAAGGTAATGCCATTATAAACACTTCATGCTTTAACCATTATATTCTAGAAGTATGATGCCGACAGGTATAAGGGGTTCTGGATAGGATGTCGAAGGGTTGTGGATAGGATGTAGAAGATTAGTCGATACTAAGTAGTTTCTCTACTTGAATTTAGGAAAGAAAAAAGAAACATGTGAAGACAAGTACCGATTATGGGGTTGTTTGTTATAATGGTGCGGTTGAGAGGCTTTTGCTTCTTGTTTCTTGATAATGTGGGTTTGGATCTTTTTGGTATTAGGATATGGGTTTCTCTCTTTGCTTTGTTGTTTGTTGGTCATTCCTTTGATGCTTTTAAACTCTTCATAGCACATTATCTGTGATTTGATTACTGGTCTCCTGTTGGTTGCTTTATGGTTTCTAGATCTTTTTTTTTTGTTTTTTCTTTTTTGCTTTTCTAAGAATCTCATTTTCATTATTTTTTAATAATAAAGAGATGGTTACAATTGATTGGCGTGCTTGTTTTGTAATTATTTTCTCCCTATAAATGGTTTAAGTGCTAATGACACATAAGAACCCTTCTATATTTAGCACTTACTCAGGTTCTAAACTAGATATGGAGCCTTTTATGTCTTGTTTTTCTTTTATAAGAAACTAACCTGAGGAGATTAGAGGACGGGAATGAATCTTAACTGGTTGGCTAAGAAAAACATCTGTTACCAACATTTCAGAGATATTGGGAAAAACATTTTTGTTGACAAGGATTAATATTTTGTGCAGTTCCATTTCTTGTTTATTTAACCATGAATTATGATCAAGGAGACAGATTCATGAAATATGACTGCAATATCACATATATGCTTAATCTTTTGTACAAGGATTTAATTTTGAAGTGAAATTTATTTTATTTTTTCATCAAAGTTCCACCTCTTATCTTTAACTATTTTCTTACAAAGATGTACATTCAAACTGCAGTTAAATTTTGTTACCTGCTCTTTGTACCCAGGCAAGCTCACCCCCACGTGATTGGCTAGATCCATCATTACAATTAAATGTTCCATTGGTGGATGTTGACAAGGTATCTTATTTTTTTCTTATTCAACTATAAGTCCACTAGGTTCATGCTTCTTAGTTTCACAGTAATTAACCTTCAAACTAGGATCATCTTGTGAAAACTCTAGATTGAGATTTTGTGTATTGCTGCTGTCAAGGATACCTGGTACATAAAGAGAGTTGCATATGCTTATTGTACAATTTTGTGAGGGCTGTGGCTGTGTTACTGTTATTGATTTTAGGTGAACTAATAAGTGGAAAAAATTAGTTTCACCCGTAGTTCACAGTATCAATACTATTGTACAATACATATTTGTTTTCAGGGTCACTGAAATGTAAATTACTGAGAGTCAGGGCCCTTTAATAGGTCAACACTAATACCACTTATGAGCCATAAAATCCAATAAGAATCATTGAAACATCAAGAAAAAGTGTCTAGAACCAGTAGAAAGAAGAAGAGAATAATGAGAGAAAGATTGTTTGGGAGGCCAAAAAAATTCCCAGCCACCCTAATAGATCTCTTATATTGATTAATATTACAATGAAACCAAAATACTACCCCTGCTGCCCTAACAGAGTGTGGTCCCAAATAACTTAGATAATAACTTAAAAATAAAATGTAAGCCAGGGTTAGATAATAACCAAAATAGGTACCCCCCTGTTAGAATTCTTTTTATTTTTTGTTTATAGATGGCAGGGTTATATCTGTCCTTTTCTTCTAGTTATTTCTTTTATTGCTTAAGTAGGGTAAAAGTTGTGATTTTATTTATTTATTTATTATTAAGTGAATAAAAGGTTGGGCGGCAGTTAGAGGTTGAACAGATTCACGATATCTACTGTTCAGCCCTAGTTCTTCTCCTATTATTCTCTCTATTCCATTCTATTTCAGTTTGCGATTTTCTGTTTGATTTCTACTTTTTCTTCTTTCATTATTTTCCCATTTTTAATTAAAACATGACCCATAGGTGATCAGGTGAGCAAAGGCCAAAGCTTCCAACCAGCCTGTCAAGCAAACCATGACCATAAAGAATGTTAACTATCTACAAGTACATGCCTGCATACATGCAAACACATATAGAAAGTGCAATATATGCTTTATATAACATTATGTGATTATTTTGCCCACCATGTTCACAGAGACAATAGCTATATGTTAGATCTGAGTTGTATAACTTCCCCTACATGCACTAGTTGTATAACTTCCCATACATGCACTAGTAAGACTTTAAGTTCAAACTTCTACTTGGATTCAGCAAGTTTCTAACTGAACATCTGTCAAGCATATGGGACTTATATCCTGATACATTGGGGAAGATTTCCAGTGTAGCATAATTGTGGATTTTTATACTATTTTAAATGATAAAATCCCCCTCCAAGTTGTTGAGATGGTCACTTAGCACCCCTCCAAGTCCCATATGCTTATATGGGACTTATATCCTGATACATTGGGGAAGATTTCCAGTGTAGCATAATTATGGATTTTTATACTATTTTAAATGATAAGACCCCCTCCAAGTTGTTGAGATGGTCACTTAGCACCCCTCCAAGTAAGAGGTGTGGCAGCAAACCCACAAAACGGTTGTCCATGTTATGCCTAGTAGGAATCCCATGCACCCTACTATGCCCCATCCCCTAATTGGCTTCAAGCTTAGCTGAGTGTCTAACATTTATGGACTAAGACCTACTTAACCAAGCTTGATTGAAGTCAGTGACTTGATTTTAGAGATTGCAAAAAATGGAATACTAGATTAATTAAGAAGCAATTTTTTGTAGTAGTCGATCAAGACTATAATCAGTCTTGAATCTCAACTGATTTCGGATTGAGAAAAAACAAAAGGAAGAGGAAGAAGAAAGGAGAAGAAGCAGAAGTGCACAAGAGTTTTGAAAGGAGGGACAGATTGAATGAGTCTGCTGCCGACACTCTCTTAATATTTATAGGTTATGTTCACTAAATGTAGGAAAGGACAGAACTGCCCTTAATACTTACATGGCAAATAAAACAAATAAAAGACTGAAATAAATAACAAACTGAAATAACAAGCTGTCTAAAGATAACTACCAACTAACACTGACATGACTAACAAAGGTTACACATGCTGTCATACGAACACAGTGGGGACCACATCCATGGGGCTCACATCAGTGTTCTCTACACTCCCCCTCAAGTTGGGAATAGATATTTGTCATTCCCAACTTGAATAGGTCTGCCTCTAACTTCTTCCTTGGTACAACCTTGGTGAGAAGATCTGCGAGCTGCATGTTGGAGGTGATATATGGGAGACACATTTCCTGTGATGAGACCCTCTCTCTGACAAAATGTTGTTCAACTTCGATATGCTTAGTTCTGTCATGCTGCACCGGATTGTGAGCTATATCAATACCCAACTCTTCAAGTAGTGATTTCAGCCACTCTGTTAGCCATTGACCTGTATTCAGCTTTGGCACTAGAGCGGGAAACAACACTTTGTTTCTTACTCCTCCAAGAGACAAGGTTACCTCCCACAAGGGCATAATATCTAGAGGTAGACCTCCTGTCATCAGCACTCCCAACCCAATCAACACCTGTATAGACCTCCACCTTCATGTGATTGTTGTTCTTGAACAGTATACCTCTACTTGAACATCTCTTCAAGTATGCTAATATTCTTTCTACTGCAAGAAGATGAATAGTTCTAGGGGAATGCATGTACTGGCTGACAACATTGACTGCATAACTGATATCTGGTCGAGTGAGACAGAGATATAGGAGCTTTCCAACCAACCGTTGGAACATAACTTTGTCTTCAAGAGGCTCCCCACCCTCTGCATTGATCTTTGTGATTCTGTTTAATGGGTGTATCGGTAGGCTTGACACCCAACTTTCCAGTTTCCGCCAACAGATCTAGAACATATTTCTTCTAAGAGATAAATATCCCTTGTTTAGATATAGCAACCTCAATACCCAAAAAATATCGTAGTGCACAAAGATCTTTCACCTCAAACTCTTGATGAAGGAGCTGTTTGAGAGACTCAATCTCACTACTATTATTCCCTGTCACTACAATATCATCCACATATATAGCAAGCAGGGTCAAAGAAGAGTCCACCCTTTTAATGAATAGTGTATGATCTGATTGGACTTGTACATACGACCTGGCCGCCTGACACAAGCGCCAACCTGACAACCTCGAGGAGTTCACCGTACCCCGTTTCTGACGGGATATGATGAGTCTTACCGTTTGAAGGCTTTTCACCCACTTAACCCACGAGGACACCCCTATATAAGGACTCCGACCCCCAAAGCTAGAGGGAGGATGAAAAAAGGATGGTAACCCCTGCACTCTAGCTCTCTCATTTCTCTCCAAGCTCTCTGTAATCAGAATGCTAACTTAGGCATTGGAGAGTCCCCGTCGGGAAAATACCCCCGGGTCCTTTGATTCAGTTCTCGCAGGTCCCTCAGCTCCTGCCGCCTACAAAGAGGAGGAAAAGATGGAGTTCTCGCAGGTCCCTCAGCTCCCACTACCTACAAAGGAAAGAAGGTCACCTCATGCAGAGGGCAGTCGGATTGCGCTGCACCAGGGAGCTCCACCACTCTGAGTCACAAGCCGCATAGCAAGGAGCTCGCCACCAGGGAGCTCGTCACCAGGCAGCTCACCACCAGGGAGCTCGTTACCAAGCAACTCACCACCTCACAGGCAGCTCGCCACTAGGTAGCTCGTCACTAGGCAGCTTGCCACCAAGTAGCTCGGCATCTCACAGGTAGCTCACCACCAGGCAGTTCTCCACCAGGGAGTTTGCCACCAAGTAGCTCGTCACCTAGTAGCTCTCCACCAGGGAGCTCGCCACCAGGCAGTTGTCCACCAGGGAGTTCGCCACCAAGTAGCTCATCACCAAGGCACTTCACCACCAAGTCAAATAACGAGGTACTTAGCCAAAAAAAATTTATACATCACAAAAAATTGGTACATGACCAGAAATGGTTACATCAACTGCCGTGAGGATAGCATCACCCCAGAAATGGATAGGCACATCAGAGGTAAACATAATGCTTCTAGCCACTTCCAAAATGTGCCTATTCTTCCTCTTGGCAACCCCATTCTGTTGTGGTGTATGAGGACAAGTGCTCTGGTGAATAACCCCATGATCAAGTAGATAAGAGGCCAGTGGCTTAGCAAAGTATTCTTTTGCATTATCAGATYTGAGAACTTTGATTTTGACCCCAAACTGGGTTAAAATCATCTGATGAAAGTTTTGGGTCAGAGCGGGAACCTCATCTCGAGAACGCATAAGGTAGACCCAAGAAAAACGAGTATGGTCATCAACAAACAACAGAAAATACATGTACCCACCCATAAAAGGGATGTGATATGTCCCCCAAACATCGGTATGCACAATATCAAAAGAATTATTACTTATTTTATTACTCAAGGAATAAGATGTTCTACAATGTTTGGCAAGCTCACAACTCTCACATCTCAAATTTGACATTTCAACAGACTCAAATAAAGTGGAAAATAGACTCTTCAAAGACCGAAAAGATAAATGACCTAATCGATTATGCCAAAGCATAACCAGACTTACACACTGAGAAACAAAAGACTTCTTATCCACTGGCTCTTTCCAATGAGGACTCTCTCCAAGCAGGTAGATCCCATTCGTCTCACGGCCAATCCCAATCACCTTCTTTGTCTCCAAGTCTTAAAAAACACATCGGTCAGGGAAAAAGGTTACTGAACATTTTTGATGTTTGGTAATACTACTGGCTGAAAGCAAATTAGTATCAAGTTTAGGAACATGCAAGACAGAGGATAAAAAGATAGCATCAGATAACTTGATGTCACCCTTGCTCGAAATGGGAACAAGAGAGCCATCAACAATGGATACTTTATCTCTACCAGAAGACAAGTGATAAGTAGTGAACAATGATGACAAGCTAGTCATATGGTCAGATGCTCCTGAGTCTATTACCCAACAGTGTTCAGTATTACCTGGAGCTGAAGCATGGTAGGCTGAGGCTCGGGTACCTGAATGAGCAAATGCATATGTGGCAGAGGCTGATGGTGACTGAGATGACTGGGCCGAATTCCCAACCTCCTTTTCCAACTGTATCAGGGCAGCCCGAACAACATTTAAGGTATCTAGGGGTGTGCCTTTTGTGCCTGACGAGGATGCCGAATCAATATTCACAACCATATGAGCATTACCCTTTTTATTCCTCAGTTTTGCTGTGACTAAATGAGGGTGGAGCTTCCAACTTGTATCGTTCACATACCAGATCCCGTTTGTCTTCCTTCTTCATGTCTCTTTTTGTATCACTCCCAGACTTAGGTTTAACTGCTGCCAGGGCTGGGGGAAAGCGCTGATGTTGCATCATAACCTTCCTCATGGTCTCTTCACTATGCACAAGGGAGTATGCTTGAGAAAGGGTCACACTATCTCTTATCAGTATCTGCTGTCTCACAATGCCATAATCTGAATTCAGGCCAGCCAGAAATTCAAACACCCTATTGGTCTCAACTTGCTTTCTATGAGTCTGTGCATCTTTTGGACTTTCCCACTCAAGAGTCTCTAGATGGTCAATTTTATGCCACAGTGATTTCAGTGTAGAGAAATACACAGAGACTAGTTTCTCTCCTTGTTTAAGGTTATTCACTTCACACTTTAGTTCATAGGCCCTAGCAACATTAAGGGGTTGGGAGTAGGTCTCATTCATGACATCCCATATCTCCTTGGCTGTCTTTGCCCATAAGTAATTTTGGCTGATATGTGACTGCATCGAGTTGCACAGCCATGTCATAATCAAGTAGTTCTCTTGAACCCACTTGGTATACATTGGGTCCTCCTTGGAAGGCTCTTTCACATCTCCCAATAGATAGCTAAGTTTTCCCCTTCCCCCAATAGCCATCATGGCTGATTGGGCCCATTCCAAGTAATTGGATCCATTAAATCTCAAGTTGTAATCTGAAACGCAGTCTCAGACATACTACCAGAACTGCTGTTCCCAAACACACCTTCTCCCTGATTTTTGAACTCCATGCTTGGTCAAGAATCAGTAGTTAAGAACTATTAAGGTTTCCACACTTGAAAACAACACTGAAGCAATCGATCACAATCAGAAAACTATATGAAATCAGTTCAGATATGATCTGAAACCAATCGACAATCAGGATATATGCAGTCTGATAACAGTTCTCACTCTCAAAACTGGCTCGGAATCCAAAACCAGGTCTGAAACTCACTTAGAAAGCACTCTGTAGAGTTGAAGCAGAATTAGGATTTCAATCGTAGGGTTAGGAAAACCATTGTGAGAACATAAACAGTGCTCAACCACACTTTCCAAGAGAATTCACAGTCAAGTCTAGCCGTAGGGTTAATGACAAACCCTAAAAAAAAACTGATCACCTCTGAGAGAAAATAGGAGGGTTCGGCCGCTCCTCCTAGATAGGTCCAACCTATCTTGATTGACAGCAATCTCAAGGGAAAAATAAAGACTTACCTAGAGATTTCTGATCGCTACCTTCAATCGTGGCCTGAACCCTAACCTCTTTTGATTCTTCCTGATTACCAAAACACTCTATCTTGATTGACAACAATCTCAAGGGAAAAATAAAGACTTACCTAGAGATTTCTGATCGCTACCTTCAATCGTGGCCTGAACCCTAACCTCTTYTGATTCTTCCTGATTACCAAAACACTCTGCAAGCCGCGACAAGTCTTCGAACAGCTGCTAAACTTTTCTGGTAACCTCCAAGAATCAGCCAATGAACAGTCCTTTGTAAGCTTCCAGCCCTAGATAGTTCTCATGTGGTCGGCTAGACTAGACTCACATGAGAAACCCTAGATAGGCTCTGATACCAAGTAGTCGATCAAGACTACAATCAGTCTAGAATCCCAACTGATTTCGGATTGAGAAAAAACAAAAGGAAGAGGAAGAAGAGAGGAGAAGAAGCAGAAGTGCACAAGGGTTTTGAAAGGAGGGACAGATTGAATGAGTCTGCCGACGCCACTCTCTTAATATTTATAGGTTATGTTCACTAAATGTAGGAAATGACAGAACTGCCCTTAATACTTACATGGAAAATAAAACAAATAAAAGACTGAAATAACAAGTAATAAACCTAACAAACTTTAGTTGGGAGGATAAGTTAAGGTAAAAATATATACAGTTGAGCTTCAATTGTATGGAGCCCCATTTCGATCTCTTGGGATCTATGCCTTTAATTTTTATCTTCTCTTGAGTCCTTCAATGTTTGTTGACTAAAACTAAAAATTTTGCATTAAGCTTGGCCTACTAGCACTTTAGCAAAGTTTTTTTTTTTTTTTTTTCCTAGGGGTTTAAAAGCATTAGCTCTTATGACACTTTGAAGAACTAAATGTGAGCACCTAGTTATGGTAAGTCTTCATGACACTTTTCTTTTAGTTTCTAGTGGTGGTAGGTTCTTCATTTTACTTGAGAAATAATTGGTTGCATTGCAAAGATGGCTTACAAATTGTAGAATTATGTTTTTTTTTCACAGAATAATAACTACAAATTGACAAGGTTTTTTGAGTTAATGTTGCAATTTGTTTGTAGTATGAATTGTTTGAGTGGTGAATTCATAAAACCACTTCATGGAATTATAATGATACTGGAGTTTAGCTACCTAAGAGATAAGTTGGTTCTAACCCAAAAAATAAAAAATCCCAAACCTTTGAACCATGGCTTAGGCCCAAGTCGAGAACCGAAAGTTGAAGTTAGCCTGTATAAAATTATGAGCTAGGTCAATTCAAACTCGAGTTAAGCTCACCAATTTTGCCTCCCTATATGGACCATTGACCATTAATTAGATGCAAAAACATTTTTCCTTTTAAGTTAGTTTAGTTTTTAATTTTATTTCTATCATTAATAAAAATAACTCCGATTTTTCACACTTGTTTTTGTTTAATATGATGAATACATAATATTAGAGATGCACCCAATTTTTTTTACAAAATTTCTATGTTTCTAATAATGTTTTTGTCTCTATATTTTCTAAGTTTTTATGATTTATTTATGATGCCATGTGTAGACACCCCATTTTTGTGCTCATTTTTACAACACTTTGAGGTTCAAGCATACTTCAACTAACCTTTCAACCGACTTGGGGGTAGTTTTGGAATTTTACAAAAGTTGGGGTCTCAAGGATCAAAGGCCATAGGTACATAAAGCCTAAAAATCCAAATCCAATGACACTAAGGTTACCCAAATCTGATACCTATGGGTGATAGATTCCAATCGTCTAAATTGGAGTCATTTTGATCCTTAATGAACAGACCAAGGCCATAGGTATATTAATAAGTCTTGTTAGTATGTCCAATCCGTCTAAATTAATTTTGGACTGGACGGGGTCCAATCCAAAACCGGTCCATTGACACCCTAGTTGTAGGTCCAGCAGATGCAAGTTCTGAGGCATCTGAGTTTACTGCTAAGGTGTGACAAGTAAGAGGAGAAAGGAAACAAAACCTTAAATAAGTAAATAAGGGTAAATAACAGAAAAAATAAATGTCTTTAATATTCTCTCTCTTCCTCTTTAATTAAGTATTTGATTTTAACCTTTCATTAATGTGACTATAATGATGGCATCATTGAAATTAAAAAAATAAAAATAAAAAGAGAGAGAGAGAAAAGAATCTGATTGTTCAAGTAATAAATATCTAGTTATGCTAGGGTTACCTTGTTTTGGAGATTGTTGGTTCACGAGATGCACTTAGTAGCAATAATTTATCAGTTCAGTACTTACCTCTATACGATTTTACAAGTTCAAATTGTTTCAAAGGTGACAAGGATTACTGTTATCTTGTGGAGAGGGAGGAAGTGCTATCACGCTACTATCACTTGTGAAGAGAGCCAAATGGAAAGAGTCCAAGTAAATATAAAAAATTAAAAAGTATGGTACGAATTGTCTGTCAGTCTGTGAGACTCCAGCCATCCACTGCGAAATGTGGAATTTGTTTGTGCTGGCTTTCATTTTGTAATCGGGCATACTATTAGAGAATCTCTAATTGTATATAAATTATATTTTTATTTCATTTTTAATTGACAATTCACTCATGTTGAGAGCTCAGCAGTGATTGTCATGCCTGCATCTGGAGTCCAAAGTCCAATCATGGTGGTTCCTCTGTTAAATTATCACCGAGAATAATTGAATTTGAAACATATCGTGGTTGAAATGCAATTAAACACATTACCTACTTTCCTTCGGTTAATCGATGATTTCACCAAACATCGTTTTTTAACTTTTTATGCCTAGAAAGTTGAAAAGCTACAATGGCTGGGTTTTGTCCTCCCCAGTCCCCACTGGGTTTTTCTATATTAATCATTGTGGTAGAATCCTCAGTTTCCTACTAAGTGGAGAGGTGAAACGGTTTATGCAAGACTAATTATAAATGAATCAAACCGCCCAAAAAATCAGAAAAATGAAAAAGAATAGTAACAGAAACCGTAACAGAGAAAAGAGTTTGGATTGTTCAAATAACAATATCTAGTTATGCCATAAATACCTTCTTTAATTTGGGGAATGTTGCTTTGTCAGATAAACTCAGCAGCAATTATTCAACAGTTAAGTGCTTAACACCTTGTAACTGTGCAATTTTAAAATTGTTTGAAAGGTAACAAGGATTATTCCAGAGTACACTTGTAAGGGGGGCTTTCGTGACTGGATTACCTAGTCAGCTTATCCTTCTTCCTGTGGGTGAATACCTGTTACAATATCTGTGTTAAACCCAAGAATATATTGAAAGAGTTTTCTTTGTTTTACAGACCACTTGTAATGGAATTTTCATGAATTGAGTACTTGTCCAATTTATCTTGTTTGTTTTTTTCCCGCCTATTTAGGGAATGCATTTTTTCTCTTAATTGTTGTTTCACATGCAGAGTCAAGGTCAATTCATTTTAACTACCGGGGGGGGGGCGCGGGAGAGAGAGACCTCTTGCTTACTTTGCTACTCTCTTTTCTATTCTCTGCCTGAAACGATATCGTGTCTTTTGTGGAAGAGCCAACTGTAGCAGCTTCTTTTAAATTTCTCTTGGTTCGGATTAGACAGTTGAACTAGTAATATGACGTTTCATAATCCTGGTTAAATGACGGTTCTTGCCAAACAGGCCGTCCAATTAGCAAAGCTGTGAGTGAACATTCCGGTTTTAGGTTTGGTTCGATTTCTCTTACAACAATTAGACCAGTTTATGGGTCAGGCTTTTGTTCTTTATTAACAGAATCTTTTCAGGCCTGAGCCTAAGCCTGGCCCGACTAATGGGCCCGAGCCCAAGCCCAACCTAACAAAATGATTGAGGACTTACCATCGGAGAGAGAGAGAGAGAGGAGAATGGTGCCTGAGTTCGTCGCCGCTTCCTGAGAGTCTGAGCTCGCCTCTAAGAGTGAGAACGGTGCCTGAATTCATTGTCGGTTCCTAAGAGTCTGAGACTGAAGAGAACTAAGAAGATAGAAGATGAAAAGAGAGAAATGGGAAAGGGTTAGTCGGTCTAGGAATTTAGGGTTTAGTAGAAACTATAAAAGTTGGGCCAAGTTGGGCTTTTTTGGCAAATCTTGAGCCCGACCCAAAATATAGTCAGGTCAGGCTTTTAGGCCCGAGGTCAAACCCACAAGTTAAAATTCATATTTAAGCCCATCTGGGGGTTGGGCCCAGGCCGGCCCATCGGCCTACCTGGCCCATGAACAGGTGTAACAACAATATATGGTTCATACAAGGGTCAAGCCCTTAGTTATCAAAAAAATAAATACACGAGTCAAGGTCAACACACCCTTTAACCACTGCAAGGAGTATTTTTTTTGAATAGGATGATACGTCTATTGTGCTACAGGCCATGTGAATCATCCAAGCACATAAGGATCTCGATCTTGAGATGGGATCCATTTAAATTCATGAGAATTATTAAAAACCATCGCATGTAAATTAATTCAACATCATGAATATTCGATTATTGCAACTTGTAGAGACATTACAAAAGAAAAAGAAAATAATAATCTTGCAACTTGTAAGGATGAATAGCATAAAAGGTGATCTTGGAAGAAACACTCAACCACCAAGGGACCTCTCGTGGTTGATTAGGTAGGTGCAAAATAGAAACAGAGGATATATATAATAAATAAAGCTGGATTAATTGTTCTCTTAGACTCTTCATCTAGCTACTTATTGTTATATAGTGTATGCCTTTAGTTCTAATCAGAATGATGTACATTATGATATTTAATGTAAATGAATAAAGTACATATTTGATTCATATTATTATGGTGTGTTTCTGTGTAATACCCTTAAACTGGATACATTTGAGACTCGTGTTAGTTTAGAATCTTCATAGCCGTTAGATAGATGTGGGGAGATTTATTTTGCCAAGGTTAACACTGATGTGCCACCAAGTTGGTTGGGGTGGCTTGTCTCATTTGCTAGGGTGAGATCTGAGGTACATGTAGTGTGAGTTTTCTTAAAACCCTGAACCGGACCAAAATTCTAGTATTGCCTTGGATCTTGGAGATAGATGGACAAAACTGGAATGTTACACCTGACTCATTGACTCGATTATGATACTACACTAGGTGTCAGATTGGTTTGTCTTTGATATGCCAATCAATGAGATCCTTAGAGGGGGTCAAAACCTGGGTACGTTGGGACCGTCTGAGAATTCACCTGAGTGGGTGATCATAATGACAGGATCAGCCTCTTTGTCGGACAAAGTGAATGATCGGGGATGCACTCTCTCTGATAGAAATCAAAACTGTCGGCAGTCGATTTCAACCGTTGAAATTTGTTTTGCAAAATATATTTATATAGAGATATACATATATATATTTTATGGTTTCAAAATGTTTGCAAAATGTTTTAATTCCCGGGATCCATGTGAGTAGAGAGTGTAGCACTGTACCTTGCAGCCGAGGAAGATGGCCTCTCTTGTCGAGTAGTGTTTGATCATTATGGGCTGAGAGGTTAAGTGTAAGACCATTGAGGGTAATACCTGATGGGCTAATCTTGCATTTGCCCAAAGTCCTTAGGTTTTTATAAGGTGGCTTGACCCAATGACCATTTAGTGTAAATGTTGGGCCCATTAAGAGCCCATAGTGATGGACTCAAGGGTTCACTATCTTCTACAGTGAATTCGGCCAGGCCTTGTAACAAAGGTTGGGCTGAACCCATGTGGCTGATGTGTAGATCAATGTTTGGGTCCCACGCCATACAAGGATAGCCAACTGGGCAACAGATTAAGAGGGCTAGTGAGTAGATAGACTTAATGGGCCTAAAGCCCAATTCAAACAAGCTTAATAAGATTAATTAAACGAGGGCGGTTCTGGGATTTGGATCAGGGATTATCCCTATCCACTTAAAGAGTCCAGATCAAAATAAAAATTTGGATCATGAAACTCCTAATTTGATTAGGAAGGCTGATCTTTATTTGCGGATAAGATAAGAGATTATTCTTATCTCTTAAATATAAGAGATCCAAATATAAGATTTGGATTAGAAAACTCCTAATAGGATTAGGAGAACTAAGGATATAAATATAAGAGCAGGGTGAACCTACAGAGATATAACACACACACAACAGATAGGCTGTTGAATGAAGAGAGAAGACAATATATAGTTCGATTGCTTCTGTCTTTTGCTCTTGCCGCCCTATCCAGTTCGATTTCCACCAGTGGGAGTGATCAAGAACAGTTCTTGATATTTCCTTTTGCTAGAAGAGGCAATCTGAAGTCGTGCTCACCAATGGGAGTGATCAAGAACAGTTCTTGATATATCCCTCTACTCCTTTTTGGTTTCAGATCTGGTTTGGTTTGGTTTCAAGATTGATCATTGAAAATGCAGTTTTCTAAAATAGGGAATGCGATTCCCACATGGGAGAAAGAGAAATTTTTGAAATTTCGCCCAACATTCCCGCAGGGTTCGGCCATCCTTATGATGGATCTCTCATTCCTTCACTTATATCCATATTTGTTTTGTCTGGGTGGTGCTATAATCCCCAAAGAGACAGATCCTTGCTTGCTTTGCTATACAAACCCTACCTTTGGCCTTTCTTACCTGAAATAATATGATGTCTTCTGTGGCAAAGGAATCAATTGTAGCAGCTTCTTTTCAAGTGCTCTTGGACAAGTTGGCCAGCCCAACTATCAGGGACTCTTCATCCAAATGGGGCATTGACAAGGATCTCAAAGAAATACAAACATGGTTGTAGACGATTAAATTTATGCTCACAGATGCGGTGGAGCTGCAGGTGAAGGACAAGGAAGTGAAGGGTTGGTTGGATGAACTCAATCATCTGGCTTATGATGCAGAAGACATATTGGACGAGTATGCAACCCATGTTGAAATATTGAAATTGAAAATGAAGCCAAATCAGGTATGCTCCTCCATCCCCAGCTTTAATGTAGTACGTTCAGTAAAAATTGGGATAGAGAATGTTAACAAGAGACTAATGGAACGTAAAAATCAAATAACTATATTTGGTTCAAAGGGGGTTAACACAGAAAGGAGGAAGATGATAGTAACTGAAATTATAGAGAGGCGACAAACAAGTTCCCTTGTGGATAAATCTCGTGTCTATGGTCGGGAGACTGATAAGAATGAGATAATTAAGCAGTTGATGATGGGGGATGCACCCAATGGAAAAGATTTTCAAGTGATTTCCATAGTTGGTATAGGTGGGCTGGGTAAAACTACCCTTGCTCAACTTGTGTACAACGATGAGGAGGTAGAGAGGCATTAATTTTCATGTAAAAGCGTGGTTTTGTCTTTTGTGTGTCTGAGGAATTTGATATTGCAAAAATAACAACTCTTATTAGACATTGGAGGGAAGGAGATTCTTGATTGTTTTAGATGATGTCTGGAATGAGAATCGCCAGTCCAAAAGGAAGTAAAATTATAGTGACAACAAGAAATGAGCAAGTTTCACTTCCCCTATTTACTTTCTTGGTGGTTTGCCATATGGAGATTGTTTGTGTTTATTATGGCAGAGCGCATGTGTAGACAACAATTATTTGATTGCACATCCAGGGCTGGAGGCAATTGGTAGGAAAATTGTGAAAAGATGTAAAGGTGTGCCTCTTGCAGTTCAATCACTTGGAGGTCTCTTATACTCTCTAAACATGAAATATCGGAAGAGTGGGAGAATGGCTTGGCATGTGAAATGCGGGAATTAGAAGAAGATGATGAAAGCAGTATTAATGTCAGCTCATCTGAAGCGGTGCTTTGCTTATTGTTCCATTTTCCCCAAAGACTACCAATTCAAGAGAGATGGATTGGGGAAGGGTTTAACAAAGGAAGTAAACAAGTGGAAGAGATAGGGAGAGAGTATTTTGATGAGCTATGTTTTAGGTCATTTTTCAACCAATATCATCATGGGACATCTAATTCTCCAAATGATCATGAATCATCATCAACCTTATTTGTGATGCATGATCTTGCCCGATCTATTGCAAAGGATATATGCTTTGCGATAGAAAAAGATGATGATTTGTTTGATATTCCCTGTAATGTTCGTCATTTGCGGGTTTCTGGCTTAATAGATTATAATAAATTAGCAAATTGCGCTGCCTTGTACAAAGCTAAGAGTCTACACACATTTCTTCTATCATACAAATATGTAAGAATGCCACGCCATTGGCCAGCCTTTGATAATTTGGATTCATGGGCATGCTTACGTGTTTTGTCCTTGCGATATATAGACTTGACTCGGGGTGGGTTGCCAGATTCCGTTGGGAACTTGAAACTTCTACGGTACCTGGACCTCTCCTTTACAAAAGTTCCAAAGTTACCAGATTCTATTTGTGGCCTCTACCAATTACAATTTCTGTTGCTTGAGGAACGGGATTTGCCTTGCATTCAACCTCGAATCTTGGAGTTACCTATAAACATAAGCAACAGCAGCAACATTCAACTTCTCAAGATCAACACCTACTATAATTGCAGAATTGGAAGGCAGAATGGAATTGAAGCTTTAAAATTCTGCGCCAAGAACATTTGGGCAAAATACATTTCCATATCAGGATTGGAGAATTTGGATGAAACAGATGTTGCCCAAGTATGTTGGGTTTCACAAGCTTACATCTCTTCAAAAGTTGACAATAACGATCTTATTTCCTTTCCAGATGAGGAGTGGTTACTTCCCACCTCTCTTATACAACTGCGCCTTCTTAATCTCAATAATCTCAAGGTCCTACCATCTATGCACAGACTTACTGGAATCACTGGAAATACGGAATGCTCCTTGCCTCAATAATCTTGAGTGGTCACTGCCCACCTCTCTTGTACAACTGCGCCTTCTTAATCTCGATAGTCTTGAGGCCCTACCACCTATGCACAGACTCACTTCTCTGGAATCACTGGAAATACGGAATGCTCCTTGCCTCTCACGGCTGCCTGAACAAGAACTTCCCTCGCAGCTTCAAAGTTTGATAATAGTTGGTTGTACTGATCTGACATATCCATTAGTAAACGAGATATCCCACATCCCAAATGTACATTTTTCTTATAGCGATGACATTGAAGTACGGAAATAGCCTTCAGGTGGAAAGTTCTCTGGCTTGTTAGAGCAGAGATTTGGGATCAGATCCCATATCACCAGGTTTGGGGGATGGAGTACCCCCAGTTTCTCTGTCTGCAAGAATCTATGACCTGTGACATTATGATGGGGCTTGCTCTACAGAGCTCCGCTGGATCATCCACTTACTCATTGGCCAATATAGAAGTTCCAGCACAATATTCAAAAGAAGATTTACACTATTTGGTAACCCTCTATCCACGTCTCTACAACCAACCATAAGATAGCATTGCTGCCGACTCTGCTTAACGTTGTTGTTACGGGATATGCTGAATCCACTGCATGATGGTGATTTACTAACTTCGACAGCGGCTACAAAACAGGGGACTCTCGAGGGTGATATCAAAGCAACAAGGTACTTCATCTTCCCAGTTCTTTTATTTTGTCACTTTAGAAGGAAAATTCAATAATAAAATGGATCTTTAGCTATACTATATAATATTAGTTGCTTTGTGAAAGGGTATATTCTATTTCTTTTTCTAGCCGGCATGTCCTGTTTATCTTCATCCAAACAAAACGCATTTAATTGGAGGGTTTTAAATTTCCTAGTTTCTTCTCCCAGTGCATACTTCATGTATTTAGTTCTTATATTTTTCTTATTTCAACTAAGAAAGTTTTCTTTCTCTACTTGTTTACATGACATTGGATATGCATGTTATTATTGCATATTGTTTAGAGTGAAGAAAGGAATCCGTTGAAGGAAATAACGTTTAATTCAATTTTACTTGTAGGAAATATATTCCTTTTTTATCATAAACATGATTATAATTAGAATAATAAACACATCAGTGCATAGAAAATCTAAGATTCATTGTTAATCCATTACATCTTTATTCTTATCTTGTCCTATTGTTGTATATGCAGCAAGAGGAAAAATCAATACAGATCACCAAATTAAATTTGGTTCATTCAATGGCAAAGGGACAACTTTTCAGCCACAATCAAATGAGAATAACCTGTCCAATCTCTTGGATGAGTGCTGAGCAGGAGCTTCTACAGGACATAACTATTACTTTGTGGATTATGAATGTGAGTGAATTTTCTAGGTTTCTTAGCTTTAAAGTCTTGTTGTCTCTCCCTTTTTTTTTTATTTTCATTTAGATTTTTTCTCTTAAGCTTCCATTCATAGTTTTACTACCTTTCTCTATCCAGCCAGGTTATTCATTAACAAAAAAAAAAAAAATAAAAAGATTCTGAGAGTGTTTTTGATTTGTTCTCTCCACTCTTAAGTTCCACATCTGAATGACCATTACTTCCTCATATCAACCTCGCCCACTATATATGTAATTGCTTGAAGTGATTTTCTACCACAAATATGAAATTTGGATTAGAAAATCAGTAGTTTGTTCCCTTTTTGCTATCAATTTGAGAGAAGAAGACTTGGACCAAAACATGCCATCATTGTAAACCTACAACAATTGAATACATCTATTCTCTTATGTCTCACGTGGCTTCCTGACCCATGAATTCTTCAGATCCTTCAGACACAGTTGGAAGGTGGGTGAAACAGAATTGCCAGGTATTGGGATAACTTTGGCTGTTGGGGGCCAAGTGGCCAACAACCTATGCTGTTGAGAGTGTTTTTGGGCTGGGCACATTCACCTATTTACGCCCATGTCTTTGTTTTTGGTTAAAATAAATTAGGGGGTAATTACTAATTTACCCATTTCCATGATAACGTGGTATTCCCCAAAATGTACGCTCTCAACAGCATAGGCTGTTGGCCCCAACAGCCAAAGTTTTTCCATAACTAACCTATGCAAGCATCGGAAATGGTTCTGGTTATCGGTTTTCTTTCTCTTTGTGCCAGGGTGGGAAGTGAGTGGAATGGATGCAGATACAAACTATGGATATTTAGTGCAAAGCGGACACTCAAACTTATGGATGACACCTTGAGATATTACTATCATACCAAGCAATGCTCTGCTTTTAATAATTGAAGCACTCATTTTTGAAATCTGTATGTAGTCTATGTGAGTAAAAATATATATCTTAATTCCCTTACAATGCTAGGTGTAGGAATATAATTGGAGAATGGGCTGACCGGTTAAACCCAAGCCAAACTCTAACCCTAGGTGGCAGACTAGGATAGGTTTTGCAAATGACACCTCTTGAGAATGTCCTACACAGAATAAAGTATGAAAATTTGATGTTAGTGACTAAAAGAACCTTTGAGTACATGCGCAAGGGGCTTCTTACCGACCCGGTAACTATGTAGTTCAACTATTTTTACATAAACGTGTCAAATGTTATATAGGTAACATGCCCTGTATCCTAAGGCGAAAATGATTTTCTAGAGAAGCATGAAAAAGTCTATTGGTTCCTTATTAGACCAAATCTCATAATCATCTTAATCATTTATTACTTTTATATCATTGTTGAAGGTGTAGGTTACACATTCTTGTTTTCCATAAACAAGGAGTTTAGAAAATATAAACTGTCATTCAGACACTTGTTATTTTATTTTTGTTATAGGTGCTAAAAGCTTCATAAAGGCAGAGATGCTTTCTGTAATGCAAGGTCTCATATAATAAATATAATACATTAGTATATATTTACCAAGAAATTAGTACATAATAGAAATCCCCAGAAATTAGTAGAAATTGTAAAATAGAACTAATTTCCACTAATTGACCAATAAACTATCATATAGTAAGTATAAAAAAATAAGTATATATTGACCAAGAATTCTCATAAATTAGTATAATAGAAATTAGTAGAACTTAGCCCTAATTTCCATAAAATATTTTATTTACCAAGAATTATCATAAATTATTATCTAATAGAAATTACCAGAAATTAGTAGAACTTTAGGAAAAATAACCACTAATTTCCATAAAATAGATGAAATTAGTACAACTTTGTAAAAATAACTATTAAATTCCAAAAATTAGTAAAACTTAGGATGATTATTACTTCAAATTATCAAATAATATGAACCTAAATAAATTATAATAATTTATCAAAAATTGCATTTCATTTTCCCGTGCATCGCACGGGTCCCCGCTTGTATATCTATTACTATAATAAGCTCGATGATCATTTCAAGGATTTGTTCTTTGATCATCGTCAATACGAAACTAGTTTTGGGTTCAAAAAACAGACGATCACTATAAGTGTTCAAAAAATAGACGATCACTATAAGTCATCCAAGTAGTTGTTTTTTCTCCATTGTGGTTAATAAACCAGACGTTTGGACTGGAAAAATCAGGAATCGTTCATTTGACTAGTTTTGTTTCACCCCAAAACCGTTTTTGGCTAAAATTTGTTGATTTGGCCAGTAAATCGATAACCTGAATAGTCGAATGGTCGACTTAGATAACGGCTTTTGGCCATTTTCAATTTTTTATTATTATTATTATTTCTTGTCCAAACGAGCCATCTATTCAAATCGGATGATCGGACGTTTGACCCGCAGTCCCCAGAATGGTTCCCTGTCCAGTCCGATTTTAAAAACCTTGATAAATATCTTCTCTTTACACAAAAAAGGTTAATCAAATTGGATATATAACAGAGAAAAAGTTGAGAGATTTTTTTCATTAAGAATTAGGATGAAATGAGGTTGTGTTTGGTTTGAAAGAAAAGGTAGGGAAAGAATTAGTATAGGTTTCCCATCCATCTTCATTTTGATTGTCGGTGTGGGTAAAGGACAAAAGTTATGAAGAGCATTCCATGCGTCCAAACCAAAACCGTGTGGAGACTGGGTGTCATTTCTGGTATTTCTGTTTAGAACGCAATAGTTAGAAAGGACAAATAAACATATGGAGTATCACTTGGTAAATCTGAATTATGATGTTTGAGGAATTGAATAGTTTTGTAAGCCAAAAACGAAGAGAAATTGCTTCTTTTGTTAAATGTTATAACATCTAAAATGTGCATTTTTTTGTTGCTTATTTTGCTCACAATAAATATTGTTTATTAGTTTAAGTTGGATATAAAGCCTGTGATGAATTTGAAAATTAGCATTATATATCATTAGTATAAGAAGATACACAAATAAAAGGTAAAGTATATACAAGTTTGACATCATAAAATCAAATTTGACTTTTATCACCTCCACCAAAATCAAGTGCAGTATCTGTTTTAATGGACTCCATAGACCCATCCTATTGGCTATTCCATGTGGTAATTAAGGTTGCCAATGAACTCCTTGATGATGTAGGTTCATTCAAAATCGAACCTTAATAAGATATATCCCATTAATAATCAGATGGTTGAACCTTCATCTATCGAAACTCATAACAGTGTCTCTGTAATTAGGGGTGGATTCGAGTTGAGTTGAGTCGAATAGTATAAAGTTTGAATTTAGTTCGTCAATGTAGTATAAGATTCGAGCTTGAATCTTGAACTCGAGTTCGACTTGACTCAAACTTGATTTAAAAAGAAAATATTTTATAAAAATAAAAAATTATATATAAAAAATATTTTTATTTATATATTCGAACTTGGCTCGTGGACACCCTTAAAACTAGCAATGGATGCGTAATTACCAATATATTTGTCCCGATTAATAGTTGGTCCAATTCAGGATGATATGGATATGTTAAGAATGGAATCCAATCCCACACCTGGCCAGATTAGTGATCAGCGTGTGGTTGAAGTTTAATCAGGTTTTTTTAGTCCATTTGTATCTTCACTTCTGGTGTAAATGAAAAGATTTTACAACAGAAGTTCTAAAACAAACATTTGAATATATATATATATATATATATATATATATATATATATAAAATGAAATTTATAAGGAACAAAAGTAAATCTTTAACTATATTCACGCAAATGGTTTAAATTTCAGTGCTATTTTACACAAGTTTATAAATTTCCCCTAAAGTTGACATCGAAAACAAGAGTAAACTTGGCATCTTACGGAGACAGAGGAAGTGTTTTTTCCGACACAAGTCATTCTGATGTGAAGTGTGAACCCAGCATCTTTTGCTTGTTTTCTTTGATTCTTTCTTAAAACCGCGTCAAAAGAAACCATACCGCATTTACACCACCACATTCACTGGGAAATAAAGTGAACCTGAACCACGTATGAAACGCCATTGAAGTTGCTGCAGCACAAGAGAGGAAAGGTACATAAAAGGCTGGACTATATTTGGATTCATTCTCTGAGATCAGAACTTTTATAATTCCATCTTTCTTAATTCTCGAGTCTTTTATTTCGTTCCATCATAAGTTTGAAGCATGATCAATATGTCTGCTGTGGGAGAGGCACTGGTGGCAGCTCATTTTGAAGTGCTTTTAGGCAAGTTAGCCAGCCCAACTATCAAAGAGTCTTCATCCAAATGGGACAATGCTGAAAAAGATCTCGCAGACCTAAGAACAGCACTGCGGAGGATTAAAGGTGTGCTAACCGATGCCGAACAACAGCAGACAAAGAACAAGGAAGTGAAGGATTGGTTAGATGAACTCAGTCATCTGGCCTATGATGCTGAAGACATCTTGGATGAATATGCAACCTATGGCGGACAATTGAACGTGACAACCAATAAGGTACGCTCTTCCATCCCCAGCTCTGAGTTACGTTCAATAAAAGCTAGGATGGAATATATCAACAAGAGAGTGAAGGAACTTGAAAATGGAATAATTGAATTTGATTTAAAAAGGGTTGATATAGAAAGTAGAAAGATAATGGTCAAGCAAATTACAGAGAGGCGGCAAACAAGTTCCCTTGTGGACAAATCTAATGTTTATGGTCGGGAGACTGATAAAAGCAACAAGATAATTGAACGGTTGATGGTGACCAACAAATCCAATGAAAAAAATTTTGAAGTAGCTTGTATAGTTGGTATAGGTGGATTGGGCAAAACCACCCTTGCTCAACTTGTATACAACGATGAGGAGGTAGAGGGGCATTTTGACCTAAAAGCGTGGTTTTGCGTGTCTGAAGAATCTGATGTTGCAAAGATAACAAAAGGTATTATTGAGTCTGCCACAGGGGAACTGTGTGGTCTCACACACCTAGACACATTTCAAGTAAAACTTAAGAAGACCTTGGAGGGGAAGAGATTTTTAATTGTTCTAGACGATGTTTGGAGTGATAATTGCGGTGACTGGAAGGCCCTTCGCCTCCCTTTCATGTATGGAGAAAATGGAAGTAAAAGTATTGTGACAACAAGAAGCAAGAAAGTTTCAAACATCATGGGAACTATTCCTACTTTCTTTCTTGGTAGTTTGCCAGACGAAGATTGCTTGTCTTTATTATGGCAGTGTGCATGTGTAGACAACATCCATTTGAATGCACATCCAGAGTTGAAAGCAATTGCTAGGAAAATTGTGGAAAGTGTAAAGGTGTGCCTCAGTAAAGTCACTTGGTGGCCTCTTACACTCTCAACATGAAATAGAAGAGTGGGAGAGAGTCTTGGCAAGTGAAATGTGGGAATTAGAAGAAGATGAAAGTGGTATAATGCCAGCTTTGAGATTAAGCTACCAACATCTCCCAGCACATCTGAAGTGGTGCTTTGCATATTGTTCCATCTTCCCCAAAGATTATAAAATCCAGAAGGAGGAGTTAGTTTTGTTATGGATGGGGGAAGGATTTATTGTACATTCAAACAAAGGAAGGAAAGAAATGGAAGGCATGGGGAGACAATATTTTGATGAGCTATGTTTCGGGTCATTTTTCATGAGCTATGTTTCAGGTCATTTTTCATGTGTTTGTGATGCATGACCTCATTCATGATTTAGCACAATCCATTACAAAGGACATATATTTTAGAATAGAAACTGGTGATCATTTGGAGAATATTCCCAATAATGCTCATCATATGGGCTTATCTCTTCGGATGGAAGATGATCAACTAGCTCACTGTTGCAATGCCTTGTACAAAGGGAAGAGTTTACGCACAGTTGTAGATTTGTACTTCTACAAACTCAGACTCACATATCCTCGGCCATTCCTTGACAATTTATTCAATGCATGCACATGTTTACGTGTTTTGTGCTTGCATGGTATTGTCCTTAGCAAATCTGGTTTGCCAGATTCCATTGGGAACTTAAAACTTTTACAATACCTAGACCTTTCCTTCACTGAAATTCCAGCTCCACCCACATCGATTTGTAGCCTCTATAATTTACAAATATTGTTATTTTTGGGAAATTACGAATTTGTAAATGATATGGAGTTAGGTGAAGTTGTAGGAAGCCTTGTCAATATTCAACTTGTCAAGATGAAGACCTATGTATATAATTCCAGATTTCCACAGGGATATCTCAAATTGTATGGTAAGTGCATCAAGTTAAAACAGGTTTTCCTATTAGAGTTAGAGCTTTTGAACATGGCAGATATCAAGGAAGTTAATTTCAAGAAGAATGAAGATATCGAGGAGTTAACATTTGAATGGAATGGCAGGACAGAAAGAGCTATGACGGAGGAAGTAATAAAGTGTCTACAACCTCATAGTAACCTAAGAACACTCAACATCTAAAACTATTCAGGTATAAGATATCCTAATTGGATGCTAACTATGTCCAATCTGGTGCAAGTGCATTTTAAAGGTTGTAAGGTCCTCCCTGCTTGTTTAGGACAGCAATCTTTCCTCAAGATTCTGAAAATAGCATACAGTGTGTGGGTCGTGAGTTGTTTGTGTCACGGGATGGCATTGTTGTGAAGCCATTATTTCAATCACTCAAGTATCTTGAGGTTTCGAGGATGCCTAATTGGGAAGACTGTGATGTAGAGCAGGTGGAAGGTGACCAAGAAGAACCATTATTCCCTTACCTTCATATCCTTGTAATTAAAAAATGTCCCAAGCTTAGGGAGTTCCAAATCCCATCCCCTTGGTTCCCCATGCTGAAAGCGTTTAAATTAACACATTGTGAGCAATTTACAAGGCTGGGTAATGAAGCAATAATAGAATCATCATCCATAAAACACAAACAATTTCCTTCCCTTTGTTCACTTGTGATAAAATCCTGTCCCAAGTTGACAGCATTGACATTGTACCCACCTCCTTCATTTGAAGAGTTGAACATGTTGGGCATACATGATTGTCAAGAATTGGGTGATATCGAAGAAGGCAAATGTCTTGGTGAGAAAAATGAAGAATGTTTTATTCTTGTTAGGGGTTCTATGATACACGGATGGAGAGTATTATGGCAAATATGTGGTATACAAACATTGCAACTTGAAAACCTCAGTGATGATGTTGAGGTCTTGCATTTGTTGCAAAACTTCACCTTCTTACCTCTTTGTTGGTAAGGGATTCTCCACATTTGGCATCAGCTTCAGAATTGAAATTGCCCACCAGCCTTCAAGAACTTCGGTTTGAGAATTGTGAGCACCTTCAATCCTTACCCAAAAATTTGCAGAGCCTAACATCTCTTGAACAGTTATGCATTTTGGAATGTCCTTGCGTAATGTTCTTTCCTGAGGGAGGTTTGCCCACCACTTTGAAGAGACTTATGATCTGCGGAGGCGGTGAGGAAGACATGGAAGTCCCACCCAAAGGTGTTGGACTACACAAACTTACATCTCTTCGATCATTGACTATCCAGGATTATTGTGGTCTCTGGTCCTTTCCAGATGAGGAGTGGCTTCTGCCTACCTCTCTTGAATTACTATATATCGGAAATGCTCCTATGCTCATGTCCTTACCCAAATATTTGCAGAGTTTCACATCTCTATAAGAGTTAATTATTTCCAAATGTCCTCGCTTAATGGATTTTCCCGAGGGGGGTTTGCCGACCACTTTAAAGAAACTTACGATCTCTGGATGCGGTGAGAAAGACATGGAAGTCCTACCCAAAGGTGTTGGACTACACAAGCTTACATCTCTTCAGTCATTGACTATCAAGGATTGTGGGTGGTCTCAGGTCCTTTCCAGACGAGAAGGAGTGGATGCTGTCTACCTCTCTTAAAAAACTAGAATTCTTTAATTTTCAGAGGCTCAGATTCTTACCTGAAGAGAGACTGCTCGCACAGCTTCAAAGTTTGACAATATTTAATTGTCCTCTTCTTAGAAAATCATGCAAGAGAGGAGGGAGAGATTGGTCTAAGATAGCTCACATCCCAATTATAATAGTTGATTGGTCAAAGATTTCTTGAGATTGAGAAAATGTTCAATGGGTCTTTGAAACACTGGAAGAGATTCTCTTTTTCTCTTTTACTATAACGAGAAGAGATCAGTCCATTTGTTCTGTTTCTCCACTTTTTCAATGAAAATCTATGATCTGGGGTATTGTGAGGCTTTCTCTAGTGAATTTGGACAGATTATCACTTACTAGTTGGCTAATTTAGCAGTTCCAGCACAATATGAAAAAAGAATGATTTATATCATTTGGTTTATACGATCCTCCTCCTTTGCACATCTATGCAACCATCCAACACCATTGCTTAAGACTCCCCTTAACACATGATAACCTCCCAACTTCAACAATGGCTACAAAGCAGGGGACTTTTCAAGGGCAATGTCAAAGCAATAAGGTACCTCATTCTTTCTTTTTCTCTTTTTTTCATTTATCCTTCTATGAGAAGAGAATTTGAAAAGTAAAATTGATTGTTAGGTTTATTATATATTATTTTGCTGAAACTGAAAGGATATATTCCAATTTTTCCCCTTTTCAGTTGAAGTGTCCCGTTTATCTTCATTTAAACTCAAGCCGTTTTATTGAGTATTTGTTAGCTACACTATTTATTATGTGAGAAATCTTATTCACATTGGTAATTTTATCACCTTGTGCATTGCATTAATCCTATCCTGTCCTATTGTTGTATATGCAGCAGGTAAAATATCAATGCTTAATCAGAATAAATTTGTTTCATTAAAAGACAATGGGACCTTGTTATGGTCCCGCGCGTAGGATCCCGTCACGGGTCGGTCCACGGTGCGAAAGCCCTGCTTTCCCTTGCGCCTTCCCTTGCGTGCAGACCCTATTGCGGAAACTGAATGGGTGATTTGTCCAAGAGACCACCCGAACTCTCCCTTGGGGTGATTTGTCCAAGAGACCA